TTCAAGGGATTTCTGAACTTTACAAACAACCAAGGACATCTGACAGTAGCAGAGCTACTGTACCTTAAAAGTTTTCTTAACAAGTGAATTTAAAAGTAAGAAGATATTTATCTGAGATGCCAGCTCTAAATGAATGTATTAAAGAAAAAGCCAGTTCTCTTCTCATACTTTATAAAATGCTGGAGCCAAATAATTTCTTAGTGCCACTTGCTCTACCCCCTTGCCCTCAAACTATAGTCCCAATTAAACTATTCATTACCAAGATAACCAAATTACAAATTAAAATACAGTCATTCAAACAAATCTTTTACTGAAAAAAAACAACTAAAAGAAATAAATTCCTCTTCACATTACCACAAACAATCCTATCGTATTTATCATAAACCAAAAACATCATTCCCTTTTTGCTGTACTGCTCAGGCCAGCGGGGCGATCATGAAGGCTATAACCTTTGCAGACGAGTCAGTGCAATATTGATTTTGGCCTTTTGCCTCTGCTCCAGCTTATTCAAAAAGTGTCCTATTGATTTTGACGAAATTATTTGTGGACTACTAGTCATGAGAAGAAAAACAAAGTGAATGTCCTGATTGCTTACTGGGGCTCCATGTTAGGCTGCATGTGTATCTATCTTGCACACACATTCGAAACTGACAGTCAGGTTCATACATTATGTATTGCAGCAAATGATGTTCCAAGATTGTGAGCAGAAAACAGGCAGAAAACATAATCTACAACTGTAGAACATGGTTTGATCATCTCTACATTTCTAGACAGCCAACTAGCAAATTTTTACAGAAGACTGCTTTACATACAATCTGTAGTCAAAAATGCCCATATTTTGTACAAACAGTAATTCAGTTTGGGAGGGAAAGGTTGTGTTGGTTTGTTTCTCAAAAAACTCTGTTTACATTTTAATCTGTAAGCATACCTATCTTTACCACCGTGTTCTTTTTGCTAAATTTTGTCCTTGTCCCCAGCCCAGAAGTGATGAACTTACACTTCTGATGTTCACAAACATTTCTTCAAAGGAATGATGACAGCATGCTGGTTGTGCTGATTCAAGGGATAGGTCCCACACATCTTCTGTCCACTCATCTGTCATTGACCTGACTACTGTGTTGGGTCAATAAATCTTTATTAGAGTAACTTGTTTTGCATGACTGTCATGTCTCCCACTAGAATGGAAGTGTTCTTCAACCAAGTGATCTCGCAATCCAAGTAGTATTTCTTTTTCAGATGTATGTATGTTACTATAATCTCCTTCATCACCTCCCATGAAAATTCACTAGTAGCAAACAATGCCCAATACAGCATCTTTCCCTTAACTAAAAAGATAAGGCCTGAAGAAAGAAAAGGTCTCGCATGGGAAATGCTCCCCAAGGAGATACTGAATTAATCAAATTCTGACATCACCGTGCAAGTTTTACTCACAGAAGAATACATGAAATCCCATTTTCCTCTCAGATGGGATGTAAAGTTTTCAGAAAGGCAGTATGGGATGAACTAGAATAAACACTGAAAGAGGATAGCCTTAGTAATAATCAAATTCTTGTCCCTCTCCTCCCTAAACTGAAAGCAGCCACTGATCTAGGCTACCAGGAATTGGGTAAGACTCCTCACACAAAAGAGGTAATGGCTGCTACAAAGGGAATGGTAGCCTCCCAAAAAGTTTAGTCCCTAGAAAGGTTATTAGGCCATAGCACACAATGGTATGCAAAGACAGGGGAGGAAGCTTGCTGATTCAGCTTTTACTGCACAATGCACTAATTTAGTCCATGCAACCACTCCTCCATTTTTGGAGACATTATTACAGCATTTAGGAAGCACTTCTCTGCAGTTACCACACAGAAAGCCACTGTCACACAGAAGCTGTGGCATATGGTTGAAAAAATAATTTTAAACATGCTGGGAAAACACAACTGAGAAACAACAGATAAAATTGAGCTGGGGATTGGAAGATGGACTGATGCTGTAATAGGACTAATGCTATTCTCAGATACTTACAGATGAAATTCCTTTGTAAGAAGAATCCTGATAGAGAAAGGATAAGGATGGTGCTTAAGAAGAAAAAGTTTAGTTTTGCAGTTTTACAAGAAGTTTAATGCTTAGGTTAGTTTAGTTTAGTTTAGTTTAGTTTAGTTTAGTTTAGTTTAGTTTAGCATGGTTTGGTTTGATTTGGTTTGGTTTGGTTTGGTTTGGTTTATACTGGCTTGCCTTGTAATCATGATTCCTTCTCCATTATCTAGTATAGTTTAGTTTAATTTAAATTTCACTCATTACATAGGTGAAACATTTATATTATAGACTTTATTACAGTATGGCAATTTGCATGGGCTTTTTTAATAACTTGCCATATTAAGAAAATTATTATTTTTAAAAAGGTATATCTGTATTTTACTCATTGTACCTTTCTGTTACTGAAACTAATCACGTTGGAGATCATGCAGAAAATACAGTCAAAGGCAAAATATTAAAACCTCCTTTGTAGGGCAAGCAACAATAAAACTCAGTGCCAGGGAGCCAAAACTCTATCTCTTGGTTTCTCTCCAAGACTCTCCACTGCTCTTCAGTTGAACTTGATCTGTGCTGTAGCTCTCAGACAGACAGATTAGGAAATCATGGACAGCTAGAGACAAACAGCAGCACTCAAACTTCAGAGGGGCAACCTGGTGAAAGCAACATCCTTCTCTAGTTTGTCCACACGGAATGGGATAAATTCCAAACCAAACATCCCTGTAGCACAGGCATAAAAGTATTGTCTTCCCCAGCCTAACCCCCTTCTCCCAAGACAACACCAGCAATCTGAAACAAATGTTGGCAGTTCCCGCTAGCTCAAACCCCATGCAGAAGCCTCTCAAGGATCACCAGTCTCTCCAGAGATCACACTGTTCAAAGGTACAAGAAAAAAGGCTCTCTCAGCTTTGGCCTGTTGTGCACAAGACACCTAATATTTTGAAAATATCACGGCTGCTGTGGTGAATAATCAAGGGCATCTGACTGAGGAAGAAGCAGGAGAAAAGAGCTGCACATGTATTCAGAATGAATTATACCAGACAGGTAAGGGAAATGAGCTCTAGAAAGCCCTATGAAAGGAAGGATTATTTCTAAAGACAGATTTAGAGGCTTCGGTCTCATCTAAAGTGCTTTTTCAGTGAGTTTCAAACTCACTGAAATCTCAATAAATAACAATCTCTTCCTATTCTACCTTGTGTAGTGATACATGTTTCTTCTGCATGTTTGATTAGTTGCAGAAGAGCTTGATACATAAGGCTTTCAGAAAAAGATAACTTTTAAAATAATTTCTTTAAACAATTCAGCACACTAAATTGAGAGCTGCCTTACAGTAATGATGCATTTCTAACTCTTTCAGTTTTATGCCTTGCATATAACTTGGTGGTTTTTTAGAGCTGTTTATGAAAAAATCTCATGTAATTATAACAAATGACTATACAACAAATGTAAAAAAAATTAAATAAAGTCCTCCCTCATGTAATTTATTATTATTTTTAATTCACCCTCTCAAATTTCTCCAATATATCCTGCCTGAACAACAGATCAGTTCCAGATGAAGACTCACTATAGCACCTTGCTTGCAAAATAGAAAGGATATTTCCCCATTTGCTTATTTTTTAATCATAAAACAATGGGGATGAAAACACAATCAGGTTGTTTTTGTACTGTTTATGATCTGGGTTTTTCACAGTTGTTATTTTTATAGAGATCCCGTACTAAGTAAACTAGCAGCATGACATCTTTGCAAGACATCAAGCTTTTGCTTACAAATTAGAATGTTATATGGTCTGTGCCATTTAAATGATAAACTTTTTTTTTTAAGTATTGACTAATGTATTTTCAAGTGGACAGTCACTGGCAGTGACCTCTTTTGAACTTGATTGCAAAGAAGTATAGTGTTGTAATGTTAGCCTAAACATTACATTTCCAAAGACTTTACAAAGGAGAACAGAATGATGGAATAAATAACAAATTATAACCAATAAAACAAAGAAATAAATAAATCAGTAATTACCCTGAGAAACTCTATTTCAGGCAAAGGGAAGAAAAAACAATTCATGGTCTGCACAGACCTTTGCCAGAGGCAGGGACAGTGCACAAACACACAAGCCCTGTCACTGGCAGGTCTCTGCCCTGTGTCCAGAACTTAGTGCCTTATTGCAGCCTGCAGTGCCTGGAAAGACACTCAAGGAGTCTAGAAAACAGCAGTGATTAAGAAGGTCTTGAACTGGCATTATTTTACTACTTTGCTTTGTGTTTTTGACGTTTTGCCATGTTTTTGCATCAAGTGTGTGATGGCCTTGATCTTAATTTCTTCATGAAGTGTGACCACTGACTCACTGGGTTCCATGTGATGGGACACAACAACAAAGCAGGAAAAGTTCCAACCTCTCCCTGTCTCCGGCTACATGGGTCCTCCACAATCTCTCTTGCTCCCCTTGTCTCCTGCATATGCTTTCATGGAAAAGTGCAAGAAGAGGTTGGATAAACATGCCTAGTGAGAGTAAAATGGAAAAAAACTGAGCAGATAAGGAGCAACTAATAATGGAAAAAGGGAACACCCTGAGGGGAAAGAAGGACAAGTTAGTGGCGAAGTGAAAAAAGGAAGATTAGGTTGTGAGGAAGAACTTTGCTCACAGCTTTTAAACATGACAACATCATTCTTTATGCATTAGGAAAACAAAAAAAAACCCAGGTATTTTCTTATAGTTAATACATAATTTTATCTACTCCAGATACCAAGTTCTGTATTAGCTGGCATGTTTCTGAGCACAAGTAGCTCAGGACATTCAGTGCTGCTAGAGGATGACATAGTTTGCAAGTAAGTGAAAAAAAAAAATCAGATCACACAGAGTAACCTGGTAACTCAGAATGAATCCCTGGCCAGAAAGCAGAAGCTCAAGTACAGGATCAGCGATAATCTGCCCCAAAGAGAGGACAACAGCATGGAAAGGGCATGAGACAGGCAGAAGCAGGTGAAAACTCACCACTGGAGCAGTTGGGTCCTCCCCAGCCAGGCTCACACTGACAGGTGTTTGGAGCAATACAACGACCATGAACACATTTATCAGCACAATGAGCTGTCAAGAGAAGGAAATAAAAACAGAATTAAAGGAGAACTCTGAGAACTAAGAAAAATATTTTAAACTTACTTCTAAGTCAGATCTTTCATTTCTCAAATATCTTTTAAAAGCAAAATAAACACTAGCATATTAATGTTTGATGGCTTCTTTTCCAACTAAATGTTCTTACTTCACTCTCTTCTTTTTCTCCCAAGTTTGAAGGCCTCAACTAAAACCATGTTGGAGCTACTTCAAATAAATACATCACAATTTTCCATTAGTCTTACAATTAGAAATTAATTACTTGTATCTTTGAGGATCCTTGTCTAATAAAAGCTGCCTTGTTTAATAAATGCTGCCCATCCCAATACACTCAACCCAAACTGCTGAGCACTAAAGCTAAATACAGTAAAGTGACAGTCCATCACATACTCTGTGTGACAGACAGAAAAAAAACTACAAAAATTAAAATACAGTCAGAAACCGGACTCAGTGAGAGGTGCAGAAGAAGCACTTTGAACACCTGCTTGCACTGCTCCTCACACCATGCTGGGCACATAGAACCTTCCCACAATCCCTGTGTAACAACCCACGCTATGGCACCGTGCAAATCCCTGTGCAAATCACCATCAGTTGCTTCCAACAATGAAACAGAGCTGTCTTAGAACAAACGTACAACCAATGAAACTCTGGGTTACAGTGTTTACATTGTCTTAGCCGCAAATGCATTAATCAACAGTAGCTTCTCTTCAGCCACTGAAGTGGTGTCTCAGTTTTCCAGTAGCAGAGTGTAAATCAGACATAACTCTTCAAAATAGGCTACCACTACTAATTCTCCATAAAAATCACACACACACACACAAAAAAAAAACAAACACAAAAAAACCCCCCACCAAAATCAGCCCAAACACTCCTGCCTGTAATGATGAAAAAATTATGAGATAAGGACCATCAAAGGAAATTGTATAATATCAGTATGGCTGTTTCCAAATAATAGCTATCAATTAAAAAAAAAACCAACAACCCATACAAATACACAAATTTCTTGCTCAAAGAAGGGATACATGTAATTATTTACTTTGAAGAATGTAAACAAAATCCAGGAATATTAAAAAAAAAATTCAAGATACAAAAAAAAATTAAAGATACCCACTATTTCCTTTTTTCAAATTTATTTTAAGTTTCTTAATGCCCTAAAATATATCTGATCGAAGAATTATTTATTTCTACACTATGCATATCTGTGAAAACCTATTTTGTAACTCACAGAAATTATTCTATAGACACCTTATTGGCTGATTCTTGGCAACTAAATACTAATTAACATCCCTAAGAGACAGCATTTGTAAAAAAATTGTTGCACTGAACATGAGGATAAGAGAACTAAAACCTACTACATGACCTACCAAAAAGCAGAAGGTGAGGACAACACAAACAGCACTAGGACAAGCTGAAAATACACTAATGGCATCAGGGATGGAGAAAATATTTTGTCTAGGTTTTCTATGGGAGTGTTGGACACGCTGTAAGAAAATACCTATGTTCCAGAGCAGGTGCAAAACTTTACATGAGGTATTTTTGATACTTAGTAGTGTACATAAGCACCAAAAATTCAATTACAGCAGGAAATTGCATCAATCATATTTTCTTCTTTTGTAAAGGATAAATCAGCTATCATAAGAAAAGCAATCTGAGCCTGATCTAGCATATTCCTTCCCTAACTCTTCTTCCCTCTTCTTTGTCCTGAAGTTTCTTTCAAAATCTGCTCTAAAACCTTCCTTGTCCAATTTACAGATCAATTTCAGTGAATCATAACCTTCCATTTTCTTAAAAAACAAAAGGTAGATTTGCTCCTTCTGGTTATAGAGTATCTGTCAGCCTGAAGTATCTATCAAATATCAGCTGCTGCATGTGCCTGTTCCCTGTGGCAGCCTCTTCTATATCACGGGAGGAGCAGCCCTGTTCCCTGGACAAAAGTCCACCAGGCTGCTGAGCTCTGTTCCCACCTCAGCTGCAAGCAATGGCACTTCTGTAACCAGGTGAATGAACAGGGCCTGCTGAGGAAGCTCAGCCAACTCAATCAACGTGAAAAGACATGTCTGTCCCATCCAGGTCATCAATGCTATTATTACAGCAAGAGAAAAGTGATGTGAGGCAAGGGCTTGGCCAACATGCTCACAGACATGCCTTAGCACCACAGCTCTGGGAGGGAGCTCAGATTAAGTCAGTCATGCTAGAGAATGCATAATACAATTTTAGCTCAAGTTGCCACTTTCAAACACTGAGCACGTATCTGGTACTGGTATCAGTGAAGAGAGGGAGACAGTGCTCCAGCTCAAGAGAAGACTGCAATTTAAACACCTGCTTCTAGGTGATAAGCTCCTGCATCCCTTGTGGTGCAAACACAGATTGCTCCTCCATTGATATACCTGCTGAAAGTGTTAGAGCTCAGTGGCGACTCTCGTGTGCTTCATACAACTTCCACTTCTGAACTAGAGCGTAAACAAATAGTGGAATATTGTGAAACTTGAAATTTCTGAATGGCATTTTATGAGTCTTCTCTCTGTGATTAAGAAAGTGACATAAAGCTATTTCATTGTAAGTCACCACAGATGATGTTTAGACATCCATGCATTGCGCTATCTGATGCGAGAAGAAGAACCAGAAGAATTTCCACCAGTAAAATTTGAAAAAAAAGGTGGTTTTACCTTTAATGAAAGTTTATACATGTATTTTAGCATCTGTTGCTTTTCCATTTTGAAATTCCAGACATAAATTGATTAGTGCAGAGCTTAATACAATTTGGCTGTAATTATGCACATGCATAAGAGATCAGAAGAATCGACTACAGTTCCACAATTAGACTTTCACCTTTGAAATAAATCAATCACATAATCAAATGAGCAAATACCTGAAATCATACCTGATTTAATGAGATTTCATACTGAAATCTATTGAAGAAAATTCCTCTCAACTTTACAGATAATTCATATTAGGAAGACTGGAGTAATATCTGAACTGAGTCTGCTTTTGGATTCTAAGTAGATCTTCATATAATTTCTTTCAGATAAATTACTTCAACAAAAGAAGTCATACTACATGCCCGACTGTGGTTAATTTTGGCATTTCTGCTAATACAACTCTATCCTGATTCGTATACCTAATATTTGAAAAGAGTAAAAGTAAAGAGAAAAAGAAAAAAGGGCGGGAGTAGGGGGGTGGTGGGAGGGAGTGTGGTGGAAAAACCTTAATTAACTGTTAAAGTTCTCCAAATTTTGTGAATACATCAAACATTTTAGACGGGAAACAGAAAAACAAAGCTCTTCTACAACTCCTGCATAGTACACAAGGTTTAATTTCAGCTTCCACATGGTCCCTTAGCACTTATTGTGTCAAATAAAATACAAAGATCTTGTAACCTACATTATAAACATGTTCTTAAAAATAATCCTTAATTTCCATACTGTATGCTAGAACACATACCCTTTGGTTAATCCTTTTTTCTTATGCTTGATCACTAGCTGCTATTAAAGTGAGTGATACCTAGTTTTGCATTAAGACAGAGGATTTATTTTCTATTTCACATGTAGAGGAGCTTCAACAGGCACAATTCTCCTGTAATGTCCTTAGAAATGTGCTACACTGTCAGAAACTGTATATGAAGTCAATGTTCAAAGCTACTAAAATGCAGCTAGGATCAATCTACCTTTTCCGTGTGTGTCAATCTACAAGAAAGCCATCAGAAGACATCTGAAAGATTTTCGACTTTCATTTCAGAAACATGCTAAAAAATTGACTTTGTAAATGAAAAAAAAATTAAAAATTGCACTTTTGGTATAAAAATCCCCTCTGTCTGCAGCTCATCCATATGCCAAAACTGCTAGGGATTGCCACTGACATTAGGAGATAAGTGACAGTAAATGATTTGGAATAAGTGAATCAGTCACTCAATCTGGTATGGACTTTCTAAAGCCTAGAGTGTGTTCCTCTATAGAATTGAACAGAATGATTCTATCTTTGCATCTGTATATCAACTCCATTCAGATCACCTCAGAAAGTCCATCAGATCTACACAATGACTACGTGCACTGAAATTTTTAAGCGCAAAAATAAATAATCACCTGAACTCCAGCTCCAAAAGTTTTCATGAGTGATAAAAAAGGCCTGTTTTGATCTTTTCTATATATTTATATTTTCCATATATATATATTCTGTATGTATTTATGCATATATATATATATACACTGAATCAAAAGAGAAAACACAAGAGGAATTTTCATCACAAGGTGAAAACGCAAGTTACAACTGTTGAAATTTTTCAGGAACAAGTATGGAAATTAGTGTCACAATTCCACAGAAATCTTGTATCCCAGGATGAATTCAAATTAATCTGTTAATCTCAAAAAAAACCCCTTAAATTTCAGCCAGTGCTTATCTCTTGCTGTTGGTCATTATTTTCCTTTGCAAATACAAAACTGTGCAAAAATATTCACAGACTTAGCAAAAGGACACTGGCAAATTCTTGCAATTCTTTATGCAGTGACCAATAATTTTCTTCCCGCTATAGGCAGTGAAGTGGTACTACCACTAGTACGTACTACTTCTAGGGGAACAGTTTCTGGTGAGTATTCATGTTGTAGTTTCCTAATTATTATTTTAAAAAGAAGTCACAAGATCCCAATTCATCAGTATATACACTGAAGTTCTGAGTCATGCCAAAATCATCCACCAGTAGCATTTTATAAATAGAGCTTTCTAAATTGAGAAGTCAATAAAGGAACAAACAAACAACAAAACTTCAAGAGCACCACAAATACTTCAGCATTTTAGATGCATCCTACGTCCTTCACTAGGTAAAAAAGTAATCCACACTGCATGGAAAATAAAACTGCCCTCATGGAAATGCTGCGCATATAGTGGAGCAGCAACAGCATAAAAGAAGACAGCCACAACACTTCAAATGGCCTTGATTCTCTTCTATCTTTGCATGCAAAAAAGGGGGTAGGTGCATGCGTTTTTCAATGTAGTCACCATTCTTTTGAAGGGAAAAAAAACTGCGTTGGCTTTCTGCCAGTGATATTTCTTCTATGATGACATGGGAGAGTAGTCCTCTCCGTATCACTATCTCTTACCATTTGGTCTTAGCTGAGAGCAGCACACTTGCTTTCCAAGTTGAACTGGATGACTAGTACTATCAAAGTGTATGCAGGCACCATCTACTCTAGTGTGTACAGACTCCCTACAAAGAAGTTGACTGAAACAATGGAAAGCATTAAATATTTGCTGCCTTATATTAATTACTGAGCTCCTTCTTTGCCCTCAATCCTCAGATCCAGCTGAAGATCAGCAGGACTGAAGGTCTCTCCATGTCTTCCATGGTCAACCATTACAGAATCAAATAAATGCAAAGGTAGCTCCATTTAAAAAAAAAATGCCAATCTGAAATCAGATGGATCAATATTTTTAAAGGTAGTTTTTTCTTTAAGATAATTTTTACTTTGCTTTTTCATGTGCAGAAAACACTTTAAAAAAATCAAAAAAGATAGTGTGATGTGTTATGACATTCTCATGGTATGGTTTTCTAGGGCTACAAACAAATCCTGCTGGTCACTTCCAGCATGTACCTCACAACATGCAGACTTACCTATCACCATGCCTTTTCCTAAACTGGGACACCAAATCCAGTGGCAATGACCATCTCTTATCTGTTATTTCACAGAACATTCTCCTGGACAAGCTTATCCACACCTTGAGTGCTATGCTTTATCACTTTCATTACAGCTGTATGGCAAGCAATGAAGCAATGAACGTCTCACTTTTTCTCATTCTCAATTGAGAATGAAAACCACCAGGTAAGGCATTGTGCCTCAGAAAGTCAGGTTGCAAACCTGCTGTCACAGAGACAGCGTTTCACACATGGCTCAGTCCAGCAGGCTCCCTGCACAGACCAGCCGAGCCGGGGGTTGACTCAGGGATGTGATGCACAGCTTCACGAGAGGAGCCAAAGCAGCTGCCAAAACAGCTCACATGCCGTGGTTTTCCCAATAAACTGAGCTTTTCACTTTTCTTCCCTTGCCAAGGCTTGCCAAGCAGTTGCCTGTTCAGAAACCAGGCAGCAAGCCCAAGGGCAGCCCCTGAAGTCTAGAGGCTCCAGCCCCTCACCAGGCTGCTCTTCCAGAAACAATTCAACTGTACTGCCCCAGACCCTCTTGTCATTGTTCACTAAGGTTCTGCAGCATTTTTAAATCTCATTATTACAAGAGCTGAAGCAAAACCAAGGAATGGAAACAGATATTCTCCTGCTATAATGAATGCCCTGTCTCCCAAAATTTATAAAAGTATATGAACAGGTCAACATCACAAGAGATGTCACAGACAAAAGATTGCCCCGGATGAACCAAGTTTTTAAAGGAGATAAAAAGATAAAGAGATTTGATTCTCTGACTTCTGGATAACTTACTGTTGTAGTACAAGCTGTGCACGTGCTCTCAAAGAGAAAATTAATTTGAAAGACTGTTGAATTAATTTCATTTTTTGCTGTATACCTTTGCCCATCTCCACGGAAATGCTAACCTTCAGAATTGCTTCCCTGTTGTCAGTTCTGCTGATATGACCATCTAGCTACCTAAACACACTTGTAGGGCTTTTAACAACCCTTTGTTAAACTAGTAACCATACACTTCGCGGGCTCTGGATTAGCACCTCCTCTATTTTCATTCTGCTTTTCTACCATGCAATGGAACAAATACTGCATGAGCACTGAACAAATAGGTCTGCACAAGGCCACGCAAGAGGCAGAGACGGAGCAGAGCCAGGGCCACAGCCAGGAGCTGGGCACACTTATGCCCTCTTCAGACTCAGGAAGATGTGGAGGTAGGGGCATGTGCCACATGAAAAGATGGTGCTGACACCTTCAAGCAGCTGTTACGAAACTCTGAATCTGCAAGAGAGGCTAAATGTGGGGATCAACTGGGGCTCACAGTAGGGAGAAAAAACCTTCATTTCCCTTCTGGTTTTGAACCTCGTATTTCTTTTTATCTCTTTTAATTTATTTACTGTGTTGTAGAATGCACTGACACTTGTGCTGTGCATTTTCCATATGATCATTAGCTAGAATCACATCAAGGCTGGCTACTTAAGACATATGAGATCCAATTATCTTGTGATTTGCATATGTGCACACCAATTGACTTCAACAAGAGCTGCACGTGCACCACTGAAGAGCAACTAAACCCCCACCACTCAAGCTTCCACAAGTCACCCATCAAAGGGGAGTTAAACCACCATTGTGACAAATGCATGGCATTTCAAAGCAAGAAGAAACTAAACTTACGGACACACATTTCCCTGCTTTCATAAAATCCAGGGCAGCACTGGGATTTACGCCTGTACATTGTTTTTTCACCATGTCTGTAGGCAGTTCGGTAACTGATCCTAAAGAAAAGAAGGAATGGTTGTTACACAGAGCTCCTGGTTCAGAAGCAAAGTAATACATATTCTTACACATGAAAAAACAAACAACAAACCACAAAACCTTTCAGGTATCGGCAAGAGGAGAGAAAATAAGCTCCAAGAGATCTTGATGTATATGTTGCTGAGTTCCCTAACCAGCCTTATGTCCATGGGTGGCCAGATGGTAGGAAAAAACCTCAAGGATTTTGGTCACTTAACTAATATGCAAATCAAAGCATCACTGACTTTGCCATCAGCATCCCCTGCAGAGGGTAAAGGCTGGTAATACAAATCAGTTTGCTGGATCATTAAAGTTTCCAAGCAAAAGACTTCTGGGCATCATCCTCCCAAGGGTGAATCAGTTTTCTAGGGGCAGAGATGTCACAAGAAGAGAAGTTCTGGTGAAGGCAAGAGACAGGAGGGCTCACCTCCAGGGCAGCCAGCAGCACTGTATGGCTTTTGTCATGGAATGAACCCCTGCAGGGCAGTAGTCAGCAGTACACAGAGAAATTAGCACACAGACCTGACAGGAATTGCAGAAATATAGCTTCCTTCTAACACTAGCAAGTCCTATTTAGCAGAAGTGGGATCTCTCACCACTCCCTGCTCCTCACCACATCCATACATCTCCCCCTCCAACTCTCCGAGCTGCTGACCACATACTCCACCAAGCAGTCATCCCCACAACACCTGATAGAAGTCTGAACTCCCAGCAAAGAAGAGCTCATCTATAAGTGATGTCACAGGTAAACAAAGTGTAATTTATCTTTGAACTCAGTATCTGCTTTTAAGGTACTATTTGTACTGATCTGTCTCCAGTTGCTTTGCCCCAGGGATCCTTTCCTATTGCTGATGGTTCATATTTTTTGTCATATTCCTTTGAGGAAAATGCTTTTTACAGCTGTCACCGGTTTGTAGTAATTCACCACTTGCTTACTTTCTGCAAGCACAGGGAGTTTCTTTTAACAAATCTTTTTATTTTCCTTTCAAGTAGCTATATTTTTCCCAGACCATTAGGTTGCAAGCAGCAAGGGGTCTCTAATGAGATTTCTCAATAAATACATCTTGCAGGGTGTAGGAAATTTAACTTTGCACATTGCACCCTTTTTCCCAATCTGTTCATTTTCTGTTTGCACTCCATGGGACAATGTACCCTGACCTGCTAATGAAATTTATATGACATCTCTTGGCCCACAGCAGTTAGACAGGCTAGTCACTGTAACTAATACAGCCTATATGTCATGCTTGATTTTGACAGACACAAAATCTTTATTAGTATCTACAATATCAGTAGCTTGACAATATCAACAGTTATACATCACCTGTGTCGTGTGCATTTAAACCAGTTCAGGATGTCAGTACAACTGGTGTAGTAAATTTGATCAAAAGGATGAGGATATGACTCTTGCACTGTAACTGAATAACTGGGGAGAGAGAAAGCAAGCAGATTACCAAGCAAGCTCTTTATAGTACAGTCTGATTTAAGTAAGTCTTTTACAGAATACTGATATAGAAAAGAATAAATATAACAAAAGACTCATGTATGATCAAAAGTTCACAAAAATTCAAGTAAAACATGAACCAGCTAACTTTACAGAACTGAAGCTATCAATTGAAAGGTTTTTCTTCCACTAATGAAACAAAAATATGGATGCAGAGGGCCATCATGTCTCTGCTGTGTTTGCCTTTGATGAAACAGTACTACTGGATAATTAAAAATTAGTGATGTAAGCCTACACAAAAAGCAAACAAACAAACAAAAAAATAATAATTAGGCCATCAAATAGTCCATTCAGCAATTGGAAATTATAAAATATTGAAGTCCTTGCCTTATTTTGTTTACCAGCTGATTTTTAACAGACAACCTTTTATATATATACTGAAGTTCTCTTATTATTTTCTGCCAAATTGTAAGTGCAGTGTCCCAGAAATAAATATATGCTCTGAGATCCAGAGCCTCCAGAGCTGTCAGTGGGACAAGAGGAACACAGCCCTGTCGCAAAAGTGAAAAACACCAAATCATCCTACAAAATTCTTCAGCAGGCTGTTTGTGCTGGCAATCAGTGAGTCCTTGATTGCGAAAGGGGGTTGGAAAATACAGGAATGCATGGCAAGTTCCTGCAGTAGGATTAATTCCCAAGACCAGCCAAAACACTGACCAAATATGTAGCCCCGACAGCTTTCAGTAACTTTCACTCACACTCTCTTTGACCTCCTGGTACCTATTGCAGGGTTAACAACCACAATGTTTCTTCCTACTGTCATCACCTCTGCTGAGGGAAAACACATCCAGACCCCTTTACTGCCCAGAACTCACTCCCTGTTTTCCTGCCTCCCTAGAAAGCCCAGCCCCCATAATCCATCCAGCTGTCTGACCTAGTCTGACCAACACTGCTGGGGCACCAAGGCTGGCCTGGGGCTCCTGCTCTTTGCTCAAGGCAGGGCACGTTCTGTCCCTTCTGCCTCTGGTCATAGGTCATTGGTAAAGACGATTTTATCACTGGCTGTGGCAGATTTATTTAAAGCCTACAGCACAGCCAGTAACAGCAGCAGTGAAGAGCCTGTGTCCAGGGTTTCACTCATCCATTCTTACGGACATTTGTTGCCTGCTCTGAGCAACAGTGTGAATGTTGTGGTAAGACTTACTTGGAGTTCCTCCCCATTTCTGAGACTAAACAGAAGAAGGAAAAAAGTTCACACAACAAAATGTTCATGCTTGCTATATTTATATATATATATTTTTTCTTTCCTCAGACTTTTAATTGCTTGTTTTAAAATACATTATGCAAAGTAAATAGTTATATTTGGGGGTTTTTTTCCTATTTTGCTTTCGCTGTGTTGAAGACTCGCTGAAAACCACTTCTATCTGCAAAAACAGTAAACAAGGCACATGGAATATAGAGCAGCTTCCAGTGACATTCACAAACACGTTTGAATACTGTAAACAGGAATTTAGTATGGTAACTACTTCATTTACACTTTGTTGTCTAAGCCAAATTGTACACAATGGAAGAAGCAGAGACTCCAAATGCATCCCGTGAAGCTCAGAGAAATTCCTTGGGAAAGTCCTTATGTGATCATTTTTTTTAATATATATATAGACTTTATTTTAAAAGTAAATAAAAGTTTCAATTTTCTTTGTAAAGACTCAGCTATCACAATCACAAATAAAAGTACAGTGGCTTAGTAGCCCTCCCAGTGATTGAACATAAAACAAAGTCTACCTTAAATGCAGAAGATACTGAAGTTAATCAAGTGAACAGTTAAGACAGTCTCAGGGACTAGCTGATCAATCATGGTCATTATAGCCATAACAAGACCACAGGACTAGGTTTCACTAAGATAGCCTTTACACAAGAGAACAAATACAGCAAATACTTGTGGCTCAGCCTCTCCTCCCACTGTATTGTTCTTGGAAGTAACCTGAAACCGGGTGAATGAATGGACCAACTGAATCAATTAATTTCTTCCAGTATGTTATAAATTTCTGAAGCTCTTAAAAAATAAAAAATAAAGCAACAAATCTTAATTCAGAATCAGGGAATGCGGAATAGGAAAGAATCAGCATAATCAAATTTGGCCAAACTCCAATATGGTTAATTATATTTTGCATATGTAAAAGCCTATTTTCACTTAAGTTGAAAAAAAAGCTGGTTTTATTAATTTCTTATACCCAGATGGTTGTGTAACAGTGGCTCATGGCACTGTAATGTTTCTTGCATCCTAATCTTTACTGCAAAAATGACTGCATTTCACAGTCAGACAGTGCAAAACAGTGTGAAAGTCTTTTGCTTATCCATGAACTTACCTCACCCATGCAAAAATACTCTTTTTTCCCTAGCTCATTACTCAACTAAAAGCTTTACATCGTTTAAAATGTGCAAAGTAAAACAAACCAAAATTATTACAATCAGAATTTGTGTAATGTATTTTCAAGAATATATTACCTTTCCCAGTGGCTACAAACATTGGGATCTTCCAGATTCAAAGATAAAGTTGTCCCCATCCAGTGGTACAGGAGTATGACAGGAAAGCCAAAATAGGAGTTCAAGTGAAGAACCATATTTCCAAAAAGGTGGCTATAAAAACAATTTTAAAATTACAGTAAGTTACCAGTAGTATCCAAACAAAAAAGGAGAGAAAACTATTAACCCATATATAATCAACATATATGATATAAAGCAACAGGTACTTCAAGAAACACACACTTCTTGCCTAGGAGTAGCAATATCATGCGCATTCTGAAGGAACCCAAAGGGAGTAGTTTCACACAAGTGGAAAGGTGAACAAACTACATTTTAGAGGTCCCATTCTCCTATCAAATTGCAGGTGGCTAGGCTCAGTCTGTTCAGTGATGGTTTGTCCCCACTAAATGACAGAGTTGCAATTTAAAATAAAGGCTGGCATTTGCTCAAGACTGCAATAGTAGAAAGGTTCAACAGATGATACACAAGTCACAAGTTCTGCACATTTACTCACAGGAGGGTTTGTGCCACTCCATTCATTGCCAGTAGCAACTCCAATTCCTGCAGCCTACATCGACCTGTTTAAAAACTCCAGGTGCCACCTGATCTCAAAGACCATATTTTGTGAAAAGCTCTTCCCCAAAATTACACAATGACTTCACTACTGGGTCCTCCCTCAGGATGCCTGAGCACCCAGGGCCTGGGCCAGCAAGGGGTGATGCCCAGGGTCTGGCTGGGAAATGCTGCATCCTAACACCTGGGCACACCAGGAGCTGCCTTTCCATAAGCACCGGTAACAGCATCGAAGGGTCAGACGCAGGTCAGAGGAACAAAGAGCAACACACTGAATTTCTGCAGGGGTCAGGGGGCAGTGTTTATTTTTTAGTGCAAATATATACATTAGATTATATATATGCATGAATACTCCTTTATCAGCTCTTCAAGATGCGAAACAACACTAGTGGAAGGTGCAGTGTGACCAGAGTACCTGCAAAAAATGGCACGGTGCTTTCACTAAGCAAACAAATTAATTAATCAGGGGGTTTTAATGACTTTGCTTTACATCGTTAACAGACAGCTTCATGTGTTATCTTGCATTGTTACTGCACTTTAAAGCTGAATTACCAAAACAGTTTGCAAACCTACCCCCTTCTCTGTCAGTCATACAATTCCCAAATAGAATAAACATTCTTCTCATTAAAAAGTTACCATAATAACACAAACATCTAAAAAATTATATTAAGACTTTGACTAGGTCTGTCTCTGTTTTCAAGAAAAATATTTTAATTTGCATACTGAAAGACTTTAACCTAACCTGCCATTAATCCACAGAGTGAATGCTGTTAATGGGTAACTTGTAATGACTTAAACTACTGTATTTCCCTTTCAGTGAACATTTAATCTTATATCCTCATTTTCACAAAAATTTTAGCACTATCTGTCTATAGAGATCACTCCAAAACATGAGACTGTTTAGTATACTCTCTAATATAATGTGAAAATAATTTCTAATAAATATTTTTGTTTTCAAATAATACACATATTTATCAAAGTAAATTAATGATAAATAGAAATTACTTACTTTAAATATTGTGGAACAGAATAAAACAAACCACAGCAGTAACTTTAAAAAAAAATAAAAAATAAAAAGCCACTGATCAATGAAAAAAAAAATAGAGGTAGTCTTACTTTACAACACCTTCTTCAGAAGTCAGCATTAAAAAGCTAGGAAACAGAAACTATTATATTTAAGATACCAGAGGATACAAAGATGATCCCATTTTGTAAAATTCTTCTTGAAAAATCAGGGCTGCTGAAAGACATTTCATGGTCCATAACTATTTCTCTGCATGTACACTGCATAGCAGAGTTATCAAAGTGCAGTTGTTAAATAAGCAGTAAATGCAGATGTATTTTCAGCTAATACTTTCAACAAAGTGATTACTTCTGTCATTGAAAATAGTCACTTTGATTATGCAGACTGTAAACTGTATTTTCTATTTTCTCTTTTATTCTCAACTTCAATTACTTTCCTTTTGGATCCATTTAACAAAATTTAAAATTAAAAAAATAATTTGCATAAACCCCCTACTGTAAAACTTGATTGCATTCCAGATCTCTTGCTTAATTATTAAGGAAAATCAAAACAGAAAATCAGTACAACTGATTAGCATTGCTGAAGTGTTTATATTAGCAATAAAAAATGTAGATTACTCATTTAACTCTTGCTGTCTTCAGTTTGCACTGAGATACTCTGTTCAGAGATTCACTCTTCTTATTACTTGTTGCTTAAATTATGTCACCCATATATATACACCAGTACCTTCACTATCTACATATACATAGTACCTATGGTATAAGTACAGAAAATGCTCATATTGGACAACTCCTTCTCCATGCAAATCACTGACTAGTAGATGTTCAAGAGAGTAAATAACTCATGATAAAACAGAAAGCTCCTCTGACATCCTACAGCATACTATATTTTTTTATGTTCCTAAGTTGTAAATGGGAATGTTGCTACCAGACCTGGAGCTTTGTACTGTAACTAGCACCACTGACCCCAAGAAACAGAACTTCTAAAAGGCAAATAGTTGTTCCCAAAATACTCTCCAATATCTAGTAACACGTTTGTATAGAAAGGGGTTAAAAAAATATTTTTATTTTTTTTAAAAAAAGTTCAAACTTCCATGGGAAATTACATTCAAGCAAGACAGATAGATTTTCCACTACTTTTGGCTGTTAACCAGCATGTACGACTCTCTCAGCAAAGGTCTCTGACTTCACAACCCAGCTGAACACACAGCACAGTTAACCCACCCTCTGGCATTTTACTGCCAAGTGTTTCTTCTACTAAGTACATGACAGAACACATATGTCTCAATAAACCACTAAAACCTTATAACCCCTTAGCATTTTTTATACTATTTGAGGCAAAAACTTCAGTTGGCAAAGCTACATCTTTACTCTCACTTGGGCAGGATGTTTAAGGCAGGTCCTGTGCAATAAGAGGTCAGTTTAGCTCAGAGGCTTCCCTGTTTCCCTGGACTTTAATACAGGCCCACAGTGTTAAAATACTAGCAGAAAAGCAATGCAGCTGCATGAAGCAATCACAGACTACTCCCCTACATTTCTAATTAAGGAAAGTTGGCTCATTATACATTTATTGTATCAAAGGAAGATATTAATAGTAATCAATACAGTTATATTAAAGAATTAACCTGATTATCCCAAGATATATTATACTGCTAACAAGCTCATTTCTAAATGGCACAACATGTGTACAGGTTTCCCCAAAAAATATACTCATAAATTACAGGAGCTCCCCTAAAATATATTTTAATGTGAGCAACTACATCTTGCTAGTAAGCAGATGAAAATGCCTGTATGTGCACTATATAAATACAGACAGCTAACCATTACTACCCATCATCTGAGATTTGTAGGGACTTCCTCTGCCACTACCAACTGTGTTGATAGTTTCGCACACATTTTGCTTTGGTTTATTTTTCTCCTATAGAGTTCAGGGTCAAAACCAGAGAAAGAACAGGTAACTAAAAAAGGCCAACAAACACCTCTCCTCTATGTAGTGAAAAGTAAGACACGATTACAAACTAATCTCTCCATCCACCCAGACCAGAACCACAAGCAAAACTCAGGGCACACAGCTCTCCTTCAGATTTGTCGTAACAAAAGGTACACAAAAGTGCGTGGGAATAGGGGAGCAGGGGAAGGTAAAACAATGCAACACATCAAAGAAATGAAGGTTGGTCAAGGCTGCAAGCAAGTATTTTTTGGTCAGCAAAATCAAGCACTGCTGGTGAATTAAGCAGGATTAGAACTGCATGGGCAACAGAGAATAGCACGACACAATTGCTAACATGACATAATGGACCCAAGACCAAGGGAAGTGCTGATGTAGCTTACTCACTACTGTAGCAAAAGCATTTTTACCACTGCACCATAAAAAATGGAGCAAGGACATGTCTTTTAGTTAAGATAACAAACTTCAAAATAGTAAGATTTTGTGCTCTGTCATGGTATCTCTAAAGTTTAACAATATTAATTTCTGCCTTTCTGCAGTGATGAGGCCCAGGTATGTTGTACTGTTCTCTGGGCTCTAATGTGCTGTTCTTAATTACACTTAAATTGCATTAACCTGTAGGTACAACAAGTGCTGTTTTAAAAAATCTTCATTCTGTCCATCATAGTCAAACTTTCAGACTGAACTGTAAACCATGCAGTCATTACTGCAGAGTACCTCCCTTGCTGCCTCTGCCTTTATTCTCTTCAGGGCGTGACAAAGCCAACACCCCAAAGCAGACTTAGTCCCTGCTACCTGCAACTGGAAATTACAGCTCCAGACAAGATAAAGACTTTTTCTGAAGATTTTCTGGGGAAGAATTGCTTGGTCCTTCACTTCTTACATGGTGTTTTTCATAACATTGTACTGTCCTCAGTCACAAGGTTCAGCTCCTCTGAACGCAATTTGTGGCACAATTTGTTTATAAAACCATCTCGTACACCACCAATGTCAGGCAAAGCAAAATTTGAACCTGACCTAATCTTGTCAATGATGATTAGTCCTGTGTTATTGTCTATGAAAAAAACCCTGATTGCTTTTATTGATTACTTAGAGAATTAATGGGTGAAGAGCAGAAGGCATTTTTCCTTTGGAAATCAGTAAATCAGTTTGATGCTCTGTCACATGAAACCTCACTCATAAGCCAAATGTGAATTAACCTAAATAAGAGCATTATAACACTGGCTGGCTGAGAATTACAATCACAGCAAATGTAAACTGAGCAGTCTTTTCTCAAATCCTGAAAACATGTCACTCCAAAGGATCACTGCCAGTTAGGGGAGTTCAGAAGAGACTGACATGCAACCCATCTGGAAAGGATGAGACTCCACAGAAGATGTGTGGGATCTGGACAGCAGCGATGACAGTTTCATAGAATCACAGAATGGGTTGGATTGGGTCATCTAACGGATGCATGGGCAGGGACACCTCCTACTAGATCAGGTCGCTCAAAGCCCTGTCCAACCTGGCCATGAACACTTCCAGGGATGGGGCAGCCACAGCTTCCCTAGGCAA